TATTTATCGTATAATCATTATAATACCACCAGCAATAGTAGGTACGTCACAAGGTTTATAGATAATAGAGGTTGCTTCACCGTCGAATTATAAAAAAAAAAGCAGTGGGGGAAATCAGACAGTGACGTCACTGCAGTATACGGTGCATGCCGCCGTAATAAGTTGCGGAGTACCGGAATAGTAATTCTCCGTATTCTCGCGTGTTTTTTACAATTTCAACTGTGTTTTTAATATTATTAAATTGAATTGTCAAATCATGAGTACGAGAAGAGGTTCAAGTTGTGTAATTGCAACATGCAATTCTTACTCTGGCAAAATAAAAAAAGCTGGAAGGACTGATGTATCATTTCACAGGTATAAATTATAATGATTTCATACGTCTTGTGATGTACTTATATCATCTTGTAAATGAGTATAAAGGGTAATCTAAACTAAAACAAACATACAAACTCTGACAACTATGTTACCATAAATTACAATTAATTCTATCTATATTTCTAATTACATCTGTTAACCAATTTATGTATTTTATTATTTTTATTATTTATATCCATATTGACTCTGAATTGTATATATTTTAACTTATCTAATTATGATTTATTACCATTTGTTTTTACTTATCTAATTGTGGTTGTATGATACGAAAAAAGAAAATGAGTTATAGAGATGAATTCAGTTTTCCATTTAATTTACTATTTTTAAGTTGACTTTACCGTAATTTAAAGGTTTCTAAAGGACCCCGTTCTTCAAAAAAAAAAATAATTACACATTTTTGTATATTTTGTATTTATGAAGTGTTTTTATTATAAAAATATTAATTATTCAAATTTATTTAGTAAAATTATTTTTATTTTAGGAACCATTTAAATAAATACAATGGGAAATATTGAGTATAGAACAGGTATTTCTTTTTCTACTTTTGTCAACTATTTAAAAACAAGTTTAATATATATTCCTACAGTACTTAAAGTATATTTGTCTATTTTAGAAATATAACTTTATTCATATAATTTACACTTAGAGCATTAAGTTCCTAACCATACAGTGATTAAGCATTTTAGTTGGTACTAAAATCGAAACCACCAATGAAAATAAATAAACGTACGGTGGTAAGCATGTTGTATATTTTGTACAGTTGCCGCATGGTTTATAGATAATATTATCTATAAACCTTGCAGCTGTCGTACGATCGATGGTCGTGGTGTACTGCTATGACGTCACTAGGCGAGGAATAAATGTGGGGGGTTCGTTTTGTTTACACGACGGTGAGGCAACCTCTATTATCTATAAACCTTGGGTACGTCACACGTGATTATGTGAATTCGACCAATTGCGCGTAATATAAATTTTACACGTGCGCATTCGTCTCAACTCCTTTTAGTTATGTTTGCTTCAAATATTTAGTCAATAACTCTATCCATAATATATAATCTAAGCTCTAGGACATACATGTTCATTGGCCATGTTATTTTTCTATGCTGGAAGCATTACGGAAGCATAGACCTAAAAACTTATAGTATCAGGTTTATGGACGGAAGAGACCTTGTGTACCAATATGGTTCCAAATGTACCACTGGTTATCAAACATGGTATTACGGCTTATTACTCATCATGAATGTTTTAATAATTTTACTGCCATTACGGCCATCACGGCCATTACGGCCATCACGGTTTATATAAATTATAGCAAAGCGAGTTTTTAAAAGTAATTCATTCGATCACAAAAAAAAAAATAAAAATATAAATTTCCTCTGAAATAAAATAAAGAATAATCAACAGTCAGTGCATTACAGTATTTTTTAGTACTTATACATATTAGTATTTATTTGAATAACTTGTAACAATTTAAAAACAGTGAAGGTATAATTGAGTACTATAAAACATTAGACCAATTATTTGATTTCTTAAATTCAAGGAGCCCTTTTTCTAAAGGATACAAAAACCATATTTTTGTAACTAATATAGACATTTTAAAAATAAAATTATTTTATTCATAAATTGTTTATCAATTTTAATATTTAAAAACTAATAACTCTACACAACAAACAAACAAATATGTTTTCTAGAATTAACAGCAGCAGTGAAATCTTTATTTGAAGTATTAAACATTATACTTAGAGAGCTTGAATTTTAAATGTATTCTTATTTACAATTTCCTTTAAGATCATATGGAAATTCTTTTTGGTCTTTTTCGTCAACAATATGATGCAAATAATAACCTAAATGTAATACAGTTTAAAACAGTAATGAATCAGATATTAATGAAAAATTGTATTAAATACTCTAATAATAGAAACTAGTGGTGGATAATTTCCCAGTATTTAAAAGTGAGGGAATGTTCCCTGGGCATATTTCCGAAATTTATAATAAATTCCTAAATAATGGATATTTTTACCATAAATTCTTGTAAATAATTCACAATTAAATTATTATTAATCCAACATAAACGAAATATCATTATCCTTATTTTATGATTATGATTAACATTATGATATTAAGATATATTCATAAGTACTGGAAAAAAATATCTGTTGAAACATTTAGTTTAATTTTTTAGGAGAATAAAACCCATGTTTGTACTGTAATCTAGATATATACTTTACTTGATCCATTATCTAAAAAAAGCAAAACTTCTTTAATTGGTTTTAATAAGCTGTTTTATTGTTGAAAAAAAACAAAAACATGTACTCATTAAAAACTCTAACTAAAAAATATATTTAAACATTAATAAAAAGTAACGTCTATTAGTCATGTGGACTGATGGAACGAAAAAAAAAATTCCCAATTTAGAGAAGAAAAATATTCTTCTTTCTTTTGGTAATATTTCCAAGGCACATCATTAAAAGCAACTGTAATACACATAATGAAGATATTACAGTGGAAATATTTTCATTTACGAGGTCTTCAAAAAAAAAATATGCCATGAGCTATAGCTTGATCATGAAAAAATAAATGAAGAAATTATAAACTGATTAAAATTGATGATTAATGTAAATTCTTATTATAAAGATTGTAAAGAAATATTTTGTACTATAACTACATATTTTGTGGTTATGCAGGAAAAAAAATTGTACAATTATCAGAATGTACTTCATGCATTAAATCACTTATTGAATCATTTCTAAAGCATAAATACAGCTGTACAGAAAAATACAAGCAATTTATAAATTTAAAAAATAATTAACCTAACCTAACTGTAATTTCAAAACATTATATTGTCATTATTTTTGATTATTTATCAAGCTTGTCGATCACTCCTGCTAAATAAATATATGACAGTTATCTGCATATCACTGTTGTTTTAACACATTCTTGGTTTGTTGTCTGTTAGTGTTCCTGTTTCTAAGGTGTAACAAATATAACTGTACCATTAGTGTTTATTTAATTTGTATCATTTGTAATTCTTCCATTGAGAGAATCATGAGTTAAAAAAAGTATAGAGATGAATTGTTGGACACAAATGGGACCTGTAAGGGAATACAAGTGGGATGCATAAAGTAAATATTTTTAATAAAATAAAATAGCAAATTATTAAATAATAACATTCAAAATCATAATTTTTATTTTATTTTTTCAAAGAAAAATTAATTTACAATTAATTATTATTTAATAAAAATTAAACTATGAATATTTTTTTTAAGCTAAGCTTGTGGTAGAAGAACAGAGTTATGAAATAATTACACTACAATAAATTATGAACAGTGGATAGTTATTTACAAATAATATAAAGAATAAAAAAAATGTCATAGAATAATGGAGACAGGTGCATCAACTATTTAGATAATTTAATGTATGGTCTTTTATTTCTACATTTTTTTGAAAATTTGAATGATTTTCTTTTCAATCACAACAATATTTAAGATGAAAATATAATGTACAATCAATTATTCCCGAATAAAAATTAAATTATGAATATCTTCTTTAGACTAGGCTTGTGGCGGAGGCACAGAGTTACAAATTAATTATACTATAAATTATACTATAATACATTAAGAACAATAGATAGTCATTTACAAATAAAATAAAGAATAAAACAGTTATGCATACTCAAGATTAAAAGGAATGTAAATATTTTTAACAAAAAAAAAAAATGTTTTTACATAAAATAATAAGTTATTAAATTATCACATTAAAAATCATTATTAAATAATTAAAAAAACAATGATAGTTTAAAATGATAAATCTAATCAACTAAAAATAGTTTCGTTTAGTCCTAAAAGTAATGTACACATTCTAGTGAAAAGAAAGATCATGAACTATTTCACTATTCTCTATGTAAAAAAGGAGTAGTTGAAAATCACCAATTCTAATGTAGTGTTTACATATTAAAAAAAATATTTCTCTACAATCATTACAACTATTGATGAATTATAAAAGGGAACTTTTTTATTTTTGTTAATCTTATAAAATGTAGTAATCTAAACATTAATTCTTACCATATAATAATAACTATACAATAATTTATTTACATTTGAAATTTCCAATAAGGAAAATAGAAACTATAGTTAGCTGCATGTATTAATTTACTATAGACTAAAATAAAAATAATATAATTACAAATTATATAATATTTCATTAAATTCATAATTCTAGTTTGGAAAAAAGTAGCACTCAAAACACCAAATTTTGTGCTATTTTTCTAAGAAAAATGTTGTGTTATTACCCTATATGTTACCTATCAAAATATAACTATACACTATCAGTATTGCGACAAAAAAGGGAACACGCTACAGTAATTTTGCACAAATAGCACACTACTTCCAACTACTGTAAAAGGGTACATATGTATTTTTTAAAATTAATAAAGAATTAAATTTATTTAGTGACAAATATATCTGGGTAGCATTGTAGTAATAGTTACAAAAATAAATGAAAGCTGTGATGTAGTTAAGAAGTTTTACGTTCAAGTGTAAAACATATTTATTAAAAAGAATAATTTATACCAAAATGCAAAGTTCAAAATTATATATTTTCAATTGTTTTCCTTTCTGGTACTCCCTTTAAGTTTTTCTCTTTTTGTTTTTTTTTTTATTTAGTTCATCTATTTCATCATTATAATTCTCGCCAGAACATAATACTGCTAATAGCTTATTGTATAATTCGTTTTTGTTCTTTTCTGTTTCGCTTAGGTGTGAATCACTTTTAGATGATTGCGATTCTAAAATTGTTTTTCCATCAATGTCCATCAAATGTGTATTATCATCTGTACTTTGATGACATAAACTTCTTGATATAGCTTTTCTTTGGTGTTCTAGTTGTGGGAATAAATCTTTGGATACCTCTAAAGCACTATTAGCTGCATTCATTTCAGCCTGTTGTATACTATGACCATCTGCTTGTGATAACCTAACACCTTTAAAGTAAACAGCTACAGTAAACTTTCGACTGTTAGTCGGCCCCTTACATTCAATCACTTTATACATGGGAATATCTGGTTCTCCACCATCAACTGATCGTAATGTTAAACAACATTGTTGTAGTTTTGATTTTGGATCATTCCAATCTTGTTTTAAAATGAAATCATGCAGACGTGGGAAAAAACAAACATCACAAAATTTCTGACAGTAATTAAGGCCTTTGTCTACATACAAGACACCAAGAAATGCTTCTAGAAGATCAGCTCTGTCTTTTGTTTTCAATTGTATTTTCGGATTTGCATATGAAGCATAATTTACCAAGTTCAAATCATCGCATACAACAGACTGAGTTTGATTATTTACCAAAGAACTACGGAGTAATGACAAATGACCCTCATGATGTTCTGGAAAATACTTGTATAAATATTCCGTTGTTATTAACTGATGAACAGTATCGCCAAGAAATTCAAGTCGTTGATTTGATCCAAGAGTTAAATTTGTAAAACCTACGCTTTTGTCAGTAAATGCTCTTGCCAATAGTCTGATATGATTAAATTTAATTCCTATAGACTCTTCAAAACGAGTTAGTTTTTGGAGTAATAGTGATGTATTGATCCATTTACGGTCCCCTTTTGGTTCTAGTTGTTGTAATGGATGTTTGGGGTAGTTCACCCATATATCAAGGTGTTTTGGTGAATCCTTAAAGAATGTTTCTCCAAATACACGATCAGCAACTTCTATTCCTCCATCTAAAAATAATGCTCCCATTAAAGCTTCAAAGCAATTAGCCATTGCATGTTTAAGTTCTGAATCATGGCATATATCTGAACCATGAGCATATAACATAAAATCATCCAGTTTTAAAACCTTTGCCAAAGTAGCAAGATGTAGATTTTGTACAATGGCAGATCGAAATGTCGCTAGACCACCTTCCTCAATATCAGGTAACATATAAAACAAATGTATAGAGGACACAAACTCAATAACAGCATCTCCTAAAAATTCCAAACGTTCATTATGCATAACATTTGATTCCATTTCTGATTTTTGACCTAACTGTGACATAACATTTATAAGAGTTTTAATACCTCTTTTCCTTGTATTCATATAGTGAATACTTTTATCTCCATATTCTGGTTGCCTTATACCACAATTTGTAAGAGTATTCCTTGCATGGTCAGGATTTGTACCAAACTTGTCTCGATAAGATGGATGAGTTAAAGCTAATTGAAGTAAATACTTGTTCTTAAATTTATATCCTATTGATTTTTCTAAGTATTCTAAACTTTTATGAAATCTAAAATGGCATGTGAGTACTGGTAAAAGCATTGCATGCTGAACTATATCACACATGAGACCAGTTTTATAAAATCCTTTACTACTAAAATCAGTTATGACTCCACGTTTCATTTTATTACGTGACCGCATCTCTTGTAATATTTTTTCCTTGGTTCTAAGTTTTTGTTTATCCTCAGAAGATGGTTTGGCCATATTTGCAAGAAGATGTTTATATTTTACATAATCTTTTGAGGCTTTTTGATAGTCTGGATTACCAATATAACTTAATTGTGGTGGTCTTATACCAAAATGAACTACAACTGGATATAATTTAACTTTTTTGTCAGTAGAATCATTAGTATATTCTCTATCTAGTTGATCGACACGTATTGAACTCGGTTTAGTTCCTGGGTTTGTTATGATCATGCCTCTGTATTCATCTACAATATCTTGCCATTTATTAGTAGACATTCTTTTTAAAACAGGCAATGAATTTTCTTCAAAAAGTAATTTATTGCTATTTAAAAGATATTTAAGAACATTACACATAGGAAGTAATTCTTTATTGTTATTTGGCAAATCTCTTACAAATCTAGGCATGAAATGAAATTGAGGACATCCATCTTTATTGCCTACAGCGTGCAAATCTAAATCTACCAATTCCAATATGTCTTTGAAGAAAAAGTCATAAAATAGTTTTAACTCTTGTATAACAAAATTATCCGGCATCTTTTCTTCAATATTTATTATAGTATAATTAGTATTGAACCTGATAATTTTGCATGTAGGTAATATGGGAATAGGATAATGTGATAGCAATGAAAACCCCTCAAAAGTGTATTTATTACATTGATGTTCAATAATTGTTGGATATTTATTTAGAAAATTTGTACTTGGAGTAATAGTAATTCTATAATGATATAACTTCTCTGCATTATTTGTAGTTGGTATACAAGGTTCAAATGGTCCTTCGCCAATATAAATATTGTGACGGATACCAGACCTCTGGGCTTTCAAATTACACCTACATACTGGCCCATCAATCATTTCTCCTAATTCGTTAAACCAAAGTTCTGGATGTAGTCGATCAGGATGGGCACTCTTTTTAGTAATTTCTTTTAATGAGGCAATTTTATAATCTGAATCTTCATCACTTGAACTAGAAGAATCATATCCATTATTGTCTTTAATTCTTGTACACTTGGGCTTAACAACATTAACATTACTTTTACGAGGCCTGCTATATACTGGTTTTAATGCATTCACATCTGTAGCACGTTTTCCTAAAACTCTTTCAAATTCATTGCATACTTCTAATGTTATATCATTTGCTATTGAAACATTTGAGTCTTTACACTTTTTATAATATAGATCAGATTTAAATGAGTGATAATGTTTTTTTTCTTCGTTAGCTATTATTTGTTCAATTGAAAGTTTTTCAGATATCTTTGCTTCAACAGCAGTTGGATTTCTGGTATTAATTGATTGATTTTTAAAAAAATGTTGTTGTTTTGAATTGTTAGATTGATGAGTGTTAGATACTGATGAAATATTACGAGTTGAATTTTTTGACGAATTATTTAAAAACTTTCTTGTTGAATTAAACCATTCGGCATCTTTTCTTGAATTAGGTACATATTGGTTGTTTGAACCATTAACTGGTGATCCATAATTAATGTTTAATGGATTAAATTGTATAGGCATATTATGTGCAAAGTTTTCCCCTTGGTAGCATGAAGTAGTGTTTGAAGAAATGTGCATATTCAAGTTTGATACATTAGTTTGATACATTGATGCATTATCGAAGTATACATTTGGATTCGGTGAAATTATATTATTATATGAAAAAGGCAATGTAGGTTGAGGGGTAGGTTGCATATTCTGTGGAATATAATAATGATTACTGTCACTTGCATTTAGGGTATTAGTAGATGGGAAAACATAAGGTACATTAGTAGACATCATAGATCCATTATTATATGGAAATTGGGAAGTAGTAGGTGTATTATAGTAATAATCATTCATACCATTGTTTGGAAGTTGCTGCATAATAACATGTTCGTTATTATAGTAGCCTTGNCTGGTAATTGATTGAAGACTGGTAGAAACCATAGGGCTGCATTATGTATGGTCAGGGTATTTTAGTACAAAATATAAAAATCTAAATTACCACAATTCTTCTTTAGAACTGGGTCTGAAAAAAAGTTTCATAATTATATTGAGATTGTAATATTGTAATATTGTATATTTTATATTTAAATTATTTATTATAATAATATCATCTATAGTTTTTATATAATATAATCTGATATTTAATAATCTTTTTTGTAAAAGTGATGATTATATTAAAATTAATGGAACAATTATAAGTAATATAAGTAGATATTTTAAAAAGTTAAGTAGATACATATTCTTAGTGTACCTACAATTTTAATAAACTTTTTGAATTGCTTTAGTTGTATAGCCTCAATAAACACCCATATAATTTGCATGAAGATTTCTCACTAAAGATTTAAATCAGTTTTTCTAACCTTTCAAAAATATGGTTTTGGTTTGGGGGAATGAAATGTCTTATTCTAGAGAAAGGACAGTCGATATTGTCAAGAATTAAGAATGTCAAATACTCAAATAATTCGTTTTTGAATATTTCTTCCGCCAATGCAACAATGATAGATTAGATGTTACCATCATTTTTTAAAGTAAAAATTGAATTTCTTTAAATTTTCTTTATGAATACCAAAATTAAGATAATACATTTGGGACACTATTACATTGTTTTGTGCTGAATTTTTAATAATAATTAATCTAAATGCTCTGATAAGGAAGTATTCAAATATTAAAAATATTATGATCAATTTAAATAGTTAGGTGCTTTTTTTTTTTTTTTAATTTGAATGTGTATAATAGGTATTTAATAGTTTAATACAAACATAAAATTGTGTAGATATTTAATTTTTCTTTGAAATCAATTAATATTATTGTTATAACCATTTATTTTTGTCAAAAAGTAGGGTGGGATTGGGAAAAAAAAAGTGATATAATATTTCGAAGGAAAAATGTTAGAGACTCAAAATATAATAATGTATAACATATAACACTTACTTACGGTATAGTAGGTAGCTGGTATATTACGGTGTCGACAATACAATGAGCGGCGGAAAATGGTCGGGGCGAAACGATGTAAATTCCAACAAAATTTACTACTTTTCGAAGACTGTAATATGATGTCAAACATTTGTTTAGGTTATGTTACACGTACAATTATAATAATAACATATCACTAGTGTTCCATAAAGATTTACCAATTTAAAATAATAGCGTGATGAAATCAATTTAACTCGGTATTATTTCAAAAGAGTAAATCGTTAAGGGCACTGATTGATATAATAAAGACAATCAAACGAATAACTGAAAAATGAATTATACCTTATTATATTCTTACATTTTTCATTTGATTAATGGAGTTCTTGTTTATGCATACAAAAAAAGATACTAAATTTTTAAATTTAAAATGACAAATACGTATTTCTAAGACGTCCTGAGTACGAGTTGGGCGTCGGCCATTTCTAGTTATCGAAAAAACGATAATCACGATTCATTAAAATTACAATGTTGCCAACTTTTTCACAATACAAATTGTAAGATAATAACAATAATAATGAGACAATACATTAACATTAATTAAAATTGAAATTAAAAAAAAAAAAAACAAAACAAATAAATAAATATATCCAAACATATAAATGCATATCTAATTAAAATAAAAACAAAAATTAATGATAGAATAAACTTAATTTACATTATTTACAATATGCTTTTTATCATAAAGAGTGACGTATTAAATAAGTCAATATTAGATACGGAGTTACCAACCAACATAGGTTTATTTGCTAGAGAATGCATTATTTATTATTTATTCGTATGATATGGTACATCTGAATAGTATTAAAATGTAAAACAAAAAAACATAAAACTTAAAAAAAGGCATAAAATAACAAAAAATAAAATGTAAAAAGGGAATAATTTTGGATTAACATAGAATAAAGTTGGATAATGTGATCAAGAGATAACGTCAGCTTTGGTGGTTATAAATCTATGTCTAGGCTTTTGATCCAATTGATGGCATCTGGGCTAGGAAGCAGAAAATTTCTTTTGTTGCCTTGAAACGCACTCTGATATTATGTGGTCGATAATAGTCTGGTAGTTTGCTCCACAGTCGCATGAGGATGATTGGCCTGGGCCCCATTCGTGTAGCATCTGGTTGTAGCGACCATATCCAGTTCTAAGCCTGTTTAAGGTAGACCAGTCTCTACGAGGGAGGTCTTGATCCTTTAGTGTGGATGTAAGGTCCGTCACTTAGTTGTGTAAGTCCAAAGTTGAGTTATCCCAATCAGATTTTCAGGATTCTGCTAAATTGAAGGTTGTTGCTCGTAGCTGTATGTCAAGCTGGATTGCGCGATTCCAGTCTTTTTTTGTGAACGGCTGTTTGCTATATCGTGAAGTGTTAGGAGATTCGTTATAAGTCCACAGTTAAATCAAGGAGTGTTCTAAGGAGGGCGCCCCGTCCCCGTCTTCTAAGGTTGGGAGAGGAGATTCTGAACAGTACTGATAGCCACTGAATAGGTCTATATGTAGATTTAAGGGTTTCTGAGATAAGTCTCAAGGCGGCGTTTAGTTGATCGTCTATTTTACTTGGATGGATGCTATTTACCTACACCGGAGTGCAATATATAAGCGAGTGCATATTATATGTATTCGACGAAATTGAGTGATAAAATAGGGATTTAATTCTAGAATTAAAAGAACCTATTTTAAAATTGAATAAGTTCAGAACAATTAATTTGATAAATGATTCATTTTTATAAACATTTTAAATTAAACAATTAAAATCTTTTATTTAATGAAATAATACGTCACCATCTCACTTCGATTTATTAAAAAAGAGTTAAACCATAAAAAAGAGGATAATATTTCATTGCCAAGTGTTTATTAAAAAAATGTTCATACATTAAATTAATGTCCAAAATTCTCACAACCCTTTTGTATCGATATATTTATGTATTCATATTTTACTTCCTAATTTGTATATATTCTATTTACCAATAAACAATACTAATGAACGGATTTTGATGAAATTCGGCATACAAACAGAATTTGATACTTTTTATATAGATAGACGATTCTTTTTATCTCTTTGGATTTTTAAAGCTTACTCAAGCTACAATGGTAGAAAACAAGCTGAGTTATCTTTTAGTTTTAAATACAAAGAAAAAAGGATTGACATAGATTTATATAAAGCTGTAAATTTATTTTCAACTATGAAACTAAGGGAGATACTAGCTTAAATATAATATCTATCCTTTTAATACCTACCTTGGTAATTCTATAATAATATTCCAATTGCATGGTTCATTTTAGTGTAAGGTCTCTGGACTGTTGATAAAAATAAATATAAAATTATAAAAATTATTTTTAGTAGAAATCATATTTTTGTAATTTTACACAGTAAAAAAAGTTATTGTTGGTGTATTATTTGAAAAAGAAAAAAATTGAATTGTTAAAATAAAATATAATATTTTATGTACCTTTAGACAATTATGTTGTCTAAAGTCAATTATGTTGTCAAATAAGTTTCCTTAACTTAACCAAAATAATGTAATAGAATGCAATGTACTTGATTGTATAAGGATATAACCAATTTTATTAAGGATTTTAAGACTATAGATATCAAACTTTGCTTAATTTTGTATAATATTTAGAAAAATACATTTTAAACTTTGGGAACTCTCGTCTAAGGTACCTATACTATCTACACCGAAAACTTATCTACAGCAACTGCAATCTACTCCAAAACGTTTTGGGGTTTTATTGTTTTTTTTTTACGCCTGAACACCACTCTTTTAACTCTTATTATTGTTGCAACAAAATACTGCTGCGAAAAAAAACCTGGAACGGCATGTGTCTTCCCCCTGGCTATGTGCCTTTCATTGGGGAAATAAAATAATTGGACCCGACATGATGGAGAAATTTTGCACTTGTCAATTCAGATAGGGCTTGAAATTGAAATAAATATTTTTGATTTTAATTTCGCTAATAGTACAATGGGTTTATCTAGGCACTTACAAAAATAAAATTATAATAACATCGAGATAGCGAATTTATATAATCACTATCATATCCCGGGTTACATAAAAACCGTCCCATAATCTATCTGTTCTAGGGCTTGAAAATTGAAATCGAAATAAACATTTTCGATTTTACTTTAAATATCACTTATCGATATTAGTTTATACTGATTTTAATTTCAATTTTGATATTTTTAAAAGATTTTTAACGATTTTTATTGATATTCTTAATCGATTTTAAACCCTGAATTCAGGGTTATTTTTATTCTGAAGTCTGAACATAATATGTTAAATATATTATAGTGATTATTGTTAGTCGTTGGTCTTACGAATTGATTTAAGTCTCGTTAAAATTTTATAAATTAATTCTAAATAGAAAAGTAAAAAATACTGTTCTGTATTTGGGTGTAAAACTTATTACTCTAAAAAGGAATGTATAAGTTTTTTCCGTCTATTTAATGTTAATGAGCCTAAAATATTGTGGCGAAATAAAACTTGTTTTGAAGAATTGATTAACCGTCAGCGTATATGAACCATCTCTTTAAGATTGCCAAAATAGTTATTAAGTAAAAAAATTGTTCAAGTGTGCTTTAAACATTCTACATAAAATTACTATTTTCCTTTGGTAAGCTATAGGTATAATTGCAAATTATAAATTATACTGTTCATAATTAATGAAACAGGCTATATTTTGGTAACACAAATTCAAGAAAACGCCTTGCAGTACCGTCTTAAAATCTCCCAAAGTCCACAGTTTTATGTTTATCTCCTAAAAAGTGATTGTTTCCTAAATTTTGTTTTACCTTTTTGGAATGCGTTACTGCTTTATTATCTTCAATTTCTTGTTAATTCCTTTTTAGAGCTTGAGTTTGAGATGCTTTTCGGAACACTTTTTTAAACCAACTTTATTCATGCGCCTTAGGAGTTTCTCTTATTTGGCGGCTTAATCATAGGCACATCTAAGGGGGGTGCTAGGTGGTCTTTAGCACCCCTAAGTTTAAAATGAACAGCTCAGAAAATACCCAATACATTTTTTTATAATGTTGACTAAATATTTTATCTGTGTATTTCATAATTAATAAACAGAAAAAGTACAGATTATAGACAGTGCGTATAAGTGTACAAGTGTATAAGCGACAAGTATATAAAATATATAATTAAAAAAGTTACAATATATTTTTATGTCAAAAAAATTTAAATGAAATGCTTATAGTTGTTTAATGTAAGTTTCGCATATAAAGAGAATTGTGGGACATTGCCCTCCAGGGGTCTGTGATATATCTATAATTTAGCACCCCCAAATTTAGTGGCCTAGTTGCATCTATGGGCTTAACTTAACCTTTTCACCGTGGCGACGATATCAAGCACGGTGTGTATGACTGATGTATATTAAATGCTTTTCTTGTTGTGTTATCGCAAATAAACGAAAAAATAAAAGTATGCATACACATATACAATCAATTTCAAGAAATAAAACGTGAAGTCATAGATAATCGGCAACGATCGGTAATATTATAGTATTTCTAAATATAGTGGCGTATTTAGGATTTTGTCAAGGAAATATTGGATTTTGAAATATTTTGTTACATAAATAAATTTTATAATACGTACCTATGCCAGCTAAACCAAAAATAATGATTTGATAATAAATGTATTTATTTTTATAAGTATTTTAGAATTCAAGCTGCCCTAATATTTACATTGACATATTATTATTATTATTTATTAGTTTATTCATATTACTCTAAGAATAAAGAGAAGAACATTCTTTATAATAAAGTGGTTCAGATAGGCTTCGTTTTTGTCAACATCTATTTTTAATAACAATGAAATTTAAATACAGAATATTGAATAGTTGATTAGAACTAAGCCAATGGATATAAGATATTGTGTTAGACTAATAGTCATTTTATTTTTATCTTTAAATTATGGTTTATTGATGAAAATATGAAATACCTACTACTCGTATTAATTATTATAGTAAAATGTATATAATTCATTATTTATTTACTTTGTAGGTATAATTACATGCTGTTATATACAGGCTGTCCCACAAAGATATACTTCTTGAATATCTCTGGAGATAATAAAGACAATCAAATTCTGTTTCTTTTTATATTACTTACGGGGAAGAGAACTACAAATATTTATTTTTGAATTAATTTTTAATTTTATTATTTTCGGAAAATGTTAAGATAGCCATTCTATAATGATTATTTTTCTGAAAATTTTGTTGTATCATACATTTATATCCGATGTATAGTTTCTAAGTAACAGCCATTTTAAATTCTGCTAATCAGTGTGAAAACCGTTGTTATCATAACAAACATAATCTGTATGGTTATAATTAGAGCCCGGATTTAAATGCGTTTGCATGTTTGTACTAAGTGTATGCACGTCTATGGGGGTTTAAAATGTCTACGGATCATATCACACCGAATTTAAACTCCAAATTTTACATTGCATATTTGGCACATTTCGACGGTTATTGCGTATTTGTTCATAAATGCGTATAACATGAATATTTAATGGGTTTTTAATAAATTAACTATTAATAAACACACACTCGCGTCCCAGCTTATTATGTAGATATCATTCTATAAATAAGCACATTGTGTTTTCGAGTAGCATTATATAAGATATATTNTAAACTCCACATTTTTTATTGCATATTTTGCATATATTTCGGGTTATTGCATTCATAAATGCACATAACATGAATATTTAATGGGTTTTTAATAAATTAACTATCAATAAACATACACTCGCGTCCCAGCTTATTATGTCGATATCGTTCTATAAATAATCACATTGCGTTTTCGCGTAGCATTATATAAGCTACATTTATAAATCTTATTTAGTTGCCTTGTTTAGTTGGACCGGTACCTAATAATAGCCACCACCCGGCACGATGGCAATTAATTAATATTTAATACGCGGTCATCGACCATCGTTCGTTGTATATATGCGTTTGTCCGCGGTAGTGTTTGTTTAGCCCGTTTGAAAAAAAAAAAGACAAAATGCCAAAAACTAAGTCTAATTTGGGTTCATCCATAACTCGATGGGTTGAGCCTTACAATCGCGACAANACCACCCGGCACGATGGCAATTAATTAATATTTAATACGCAGTCATCGACCATCGTTCGTTGTATATGCGTTTGTCCGCGGTAGTGTTTGTTTAGCTCGTTTGAAAAAAAAAGACAAAATGCCAAAAACTAAGTCTAATTTGGGTTCATCCATAACTCAATGGGTTGAGCCTTACAATCGCGACAAAACTGTGTGTACCACTAGTGGATTAGTAGTTTATTGTCCAGTTTGTGTTCGTCAGGTGCGTTGTAACAAAAAATTTCAAATAACGCGACATGAAACTACCGAGTTTCATTTGAAATGTTTGAAAAAAAGTTCTAACAACAGTAAACAAATGTTGTTGGGAGATGAAACCAAACCAAAAACATCAAGTTTTAATGAAGATCTGTNCTCGATGGGTTGAGCCTTACAATCGCGACAAAACTGTGTTTACCACTAGTGGATTAGTAGTTTATTGTCAAGTTTGTGATCGTCAGGTGCGTTGTAACAAAAAGTTTCAAATAACGCAACATGTAACTACAGAGTTTTATTTGAAATGTTTGAAAAAAAGTTCCAACAACAGTAAACAAATGTTGTTGGGAGATGAAACCAAACCAAAAACATCAAAATTTAATGAAGATCTGTGTTTGAGCCTCGTAGCTGCAAATATACCTTGGTTTAAACTACAAAATCCAGACTTCCGCGATTTTTTACAAAATTATACAAAAAAACACATTCCTGATGAAACCACTCTACGTAAGTCTTTCTTACATCCATTTTATGTAAAAACAATTGAAAAAATTAGAGAAAAAAATGGGGATTCGTATATATATTTAGTCGTTGATGAAACTACAGATATCAATGGTAGTTATATTGTAAACCTTTTAGTTGGTGTGTTAAATGAACAAAATGCTAGCAAACTATTTAAAAATGATTTGAAATACATTTCAAAGCTGGTAAAACACTAAACGTATTTTTTCCTAATATGATACACATTTCATGTCTTGCTCACATGATCCAACGTCTAGCAGAAAAAGTTAGAGAAATGTACCCCAATGTAAATACTTTGGTAAGTAATTTAAAAAAAGTANAAAAATGTGTTTTTTTTTAAATAAATTCATTTTATAAAGTTTAACATAATGCATATAATTGCATATTTAGCCACTTTTCCTTTGCATATTTGCATCATATTTGACACTTTTTAAATGCATATAAATCCGGGCTCTAGTTATAATATACAAACAGTAAGTATATTTGATAAATTAATATAAAAATACATTATAAAATATAAGAATAAAAAAGAATATATATATGATATATTATACAATAATTTAGATGTATTTCACTTGTTAGTAAAAATTCTTAATTTTGAGGGTATTTTGTTTTACAGTATATTGATACATTTTAGTTATATATAATAACTGTAAAATACATTCAAAATGTTCTTTACATGTTGATACATCAAAATTTATAATCTGTTTTTGAGTACAGTAACTTTTAACCTTCGTTTAATAATTTCTTTTTCACATTTATGGCAGAAAACATTTTTGTAAATATATTAAGACCAGTATTACATATTAATTTGTAAGGCAGATAGTTTTTGTAATCCCTTGTTATATGAGTCAATTATATGTTCAAAAGTCTTAAAAGTTATTAATACCTAACTGATTTGGTTCATTAATAAGATCATGAGTAATTAAATTATTTTTGAAATCTGTAAAATTAAAATGTTCAATACAGCGTTTAGCTAAATAACCTGCGAAATATTTAATAGATCATTCTTCTAATGTTTTTATAAGTATATACTTTTTATTTTACAACAGTTGATAAAGTTGAGCATGTGAACACTAAAGTTCAAGTGTTCACTTGAAGTAGCATTCGACTCGTTTTCAATTTCTTGATCTGAACTGTTTTCGTTTATATCATTATTGTGCCATGTGCACTTAAACCTCAATGTCAGATAAAACATCATTAATTAAAGACTCGTCCGTACTTGCTTCACAATTACATTTCTTTGGGACTTTTCAAAGAAAATGAATAAATACTTGCAAAAAAAGTACGGAATGAATCTCAAGATTGGATTTTGTGTGTAACCATTTTTTCGCCTTTTAATTGAAAACATATTTTCCAAAGGATTCTGATTAAGTAGGTTTGTTAACATAAACTTTTTTAATAGAAATGTGTTTCTACCTACTGTATTAATCATACGATCGCACGGATTGACTTGGGATAACTAACAGAAATAATAAAATCAAACACCAAAAAAAAAAAAAAATAAAAAAAAAAGTCCAGGAGGGGCTGATTTTCCCGTTTTTTCTACGTTTTTCCCACTTGTCCCATGTTTTTTTCCCGTTTTTCATATTTGCTGGGAAAAATTTTGAGAAAATCGAAAAATAACCTCCCTAAAGTATCCTTCCCGTCAGATTTCCTTTCAGAAAATTTCTATCATTGTAAACCGGAACAAAAATGCAGGTAGAAAATTTGTTCACAGAAAAAAAAACCATAATATTTCACTAATGTATTTTGTACACTTTCCCGTTTTTTCTCAGTTTTTCACGATTTTTCCCATTTATTGGTAAAACTCCTGGGAAAATTGAGAAATAACTTCCTCAAGTTCCCTTTCTGAATTAGTGCCGCGCGTAGATATCTAAGCAAGAATTATGGTAGAATTTTTGACACAGTATAAAAAAAATTAAACGTCCTAGTAAAACCAATACACTCTGTTCCACTCAGAATCTAAAACAAGTTACAGATTTAAAATACAACCATTTTAATTTTGACGGTTAAGGAATTACTGATTACAATTGAAAAAGAATTGGTATTTGTTGAACTAAACAGAAGTTTTACTTATTATACAAAATAATAGGATAATGTATAATGTCCACTGGGTATTATGTACAATAACTAGATTTATTAAATTAAAAACACATACAAATATTCGTCATAAACTACACATACCTATATAGGTATAGACAGACTGATTCATTTAACACACAACATTTATTAGTTTGAATATTAAAATCTTGAATTTTTATTGGTAATATTTTTAATCGTTGGTTCTACCCTAAATGAGTATCGGCTTTTAATTTTTAAATGCAAGCCTTTTTTTTTTAAAATCATAAATCTATAATTGTAAATCTATTATTTTTATTAGTTCAAATTTAATTTATAATAAAAAATATTCTAATACATTTCTTGTATATTTGAACTCATTTCTCAAAATAAAGTTCCAAATAAAGCTAATACTTCTCTAAATAATGAGTGTTATGTGTTAAATGAATATTTTAACCTTGTATTTTTATATTTTTATAATTTTTTATAATTATTTCCTTGCTTTTCTATAATTTTAGTTATTAGATTAAAAACTTGGTTGAGAAATCAAATGGGGCAAGCACGTCTGACTAGTTTGACGCTTATGAATATTCATAACAATATTACATTAAATACTAATAACATCATTAATTGCTTTTCAAAACACAAAGTCGATTTCATTCTTTAATCAATTAAATTATATTCAGATTCAACTAGTTTTTTTTTAGCTCTAAATAAGAAGTAAATAAGTACCTATAAATTGTAAATTATTTTTTCTCACTTTATTACCTAATTACTTCTATTATTAATTTATATATACGAGGATGTACCCAAAAGAAACCGAACTGATGATTTTCGTACTCGTTTTTGTAATGGCTGATTTGCGTGAACAGCGCGCGGCCGTCAAGTTTTGCTTCCTGCTCGGGAAAACAGGTACAGAAACCCATGAGATGTTGAAAACAGCTTACAAAGGTGATTCTTTAGGAAAAACTTAAGTATTTGAGTGGTTTTCCCGTTTCAAAAGTGGTAAAATGTCGATAGACGACCAAGCTCGCTCTGGACGTCCTTCGACGGCGCAAACAAACGAAAATGTAGAAAAAATTCACAAAATTATCCTGGAAGATAGACGGCAAACCATCGAAGAAGTAGTGGAGAGATCTGGTGTGACATGGAGTTCAGTACGGAGAATTTTAAGTGAAGATTTGGGGATGAGACGGGTGGCTGCAAAATTTGTTCCTCGACTGCTAACTGAGCAGCAAAAACAAGGCCGCGTGGAATCATGCTCTTCTTTGAAAGAAGAATTCCAAAATTACCTAAACTTCTTTTCCAAGGTCATTACAGGTGACGAATCATGGTGCTATGGATATGNCATTAAGACAATGCTCATTTGTTTTTTTGATGTGAGAGGAGTCGTCCATTCGGAGTTTGTTCCACCTGGTCAGACAGTTAACCAGGCATTTTACCTAGAGGTGTTAAAAAGATTACGCAACAGTTTGAGGCGAAAAAGACCTGATTTGTGGCAGTCAGGAAACTGGTTTTTTCATTATGACAATGCTCCTGCTCACACAGCCCTTTCTGTACGGCGGTTTTTGACCAAAAATGATATGACCACTGTGTCCCATCCACCCTACTCACCCGACCTGTCTCCCTGCGACTTCTTTTTATTCCCCAGAATGAAAAGGAACATGGAAGGAAAGCGTTTCGCGGACATTGATGAAGTTAAAAAAAAAACTATGGAGGCGTTGGCAGGCATCACAAAAGTTGAGTTTAAAAATGTTTTTTGTAAAAAAAAATATATAAATAACTTTGTACAAAAATAGTTCGGTTTTTTTTGGGTACACCCTCGTATATATACACAAAAATTTTAAATACTGTTACTATGATAACAAGTAACTCAGTTTTTCCTAAAAATCGAAATTTTAAAAATTTTTATTTTAAGGATTTCACTGTTTTTTGAATCTATATAATCCGCAGATGTCATTTAGGACATTTTTAGTGATAATTTACTTGGTGTACATTAAAAAAAAAAATTAACAAAATTCAAAGAATTAAAATAGTAACCTTATTTTAATAATTATATATATATAAAAAAAAATTAATATAATATAAGAACGACAAACTTTGTTCTTAGAAATTATATTTAAAAAAATATATATATTTTGTGCCTTTATCAGTTGTATCAATAATTGGAATATGTTCTATCAAAACCCAAAAATCAGTAACATGATTAACTAACTCTAAAACTTTAGCACCATCAAAAATGCCAGCTTCTATCATTTCTTTTCAAGCATTTGCAGAAATTAGATACTGGACACCCGTGTCCCGTATCTAATTTCTTAATGGTGAAATAATTTACCCGGGTGGGCGAATTATTTCTTTCTCCTAAGTGTCCAACTAGTCTAGGCTGGGTGTCCATTTGGACTCATACAACATACTTTACACACAAAAAAACTGTGTACGTCTTTTTTCATATAACTTTTTGTCAAACTTAATAAAATTTCATAATATTAGCACTTGATGTTCTTGTGAAAACTTACCGACATTCGTAAATCCGAAACGAAACGTTTGGCATTTACCAATCTTATACTATATATATATATTTTTATTTTTATTTTCAAATACGAGTTTAAACTGGCGGATTGTTATGTATTTGAACGATCAAGAGTCGATAACTTCCTATTCGATGGTCGAAACGTAGAAATCGTAAACGTTTGTTATGCCCGTGAACGACCAAGTTCAAAAACGAATTTACGGTGTAAAAAAATAAGGAGAAAAAGAACCGCTTTGCGTGCATCGGTTTTCGACGCGCGTGTGCCGTCTCGCCAACGCGTGGGCGCTGAACGGAGTCGACGACGGCTCGTTCCTGAAAATCGCGTCACGGCCGTAACGATTGCGGCCGGTAGACATCGGAGATACGGTGGCGCTGAATGGCCGAGATTACGCCGCGCGCCTCGTAAAAGCAATGAAAAACCCCGGTTAATGGACGCCGTAAATGTTGATCGGGGGACCGGCGCGGTACGGCGTGGCGCTGTTTTTCTCGGGCGGCTTTTTATTGCGCTATCGCCGGGGTGGTAGGGGCACAAAACATCTCTCTTTCTCTCTGTCTATATATATATGGATGTATTAGGATTGTTCCAGCGCAGTATTTTTCCATGTTGTAAACTTCCGGCGCATGCGCAAACCCAAAGACGCGTTCCAGCAGAGCAAATTATTTACTTCTAACAGTATGTTATCTGTTCCATCAGCACTGCGACCGATGTTATTAAGTTGTTGGAAACACTAATTTTCTGTTTCGTGTTGTACGTCCCGTCAGTTATTATTATGAATATTCATAAGCGTCAAACTAGTCAAACGCGCTTGCCCCGTTTGACATCTCAACGAAGTTTTTAATCTAATACGCATAGAAAATCAAGGAAATAATTATAAAGCAAAAACGAAACTATGTACAACAGCTTAAAAAATATAAATGTATAGGGTTAAAATATTAATTTGATACACAACACTCATTATTTAGAATAGTATTAACTTTATTTTTGAAAATGAGTTTAAATATACAAGAAATGTATTAGGATATTTTTTCTTATAAAATAAATTTGAATTCATAAAAAAATATCCTTATAGATTTTTGATACTAAAATTAGGGGTTTTCGTTTAAAAATCAAAAGTTGATACTCATTTAGGGTGGAGCCAGAAATTAAAAATATCGTCCCACTAAAAAATTAAAGATTTTAATATTCAAACTATTTTCAAATAAACTAATAATTTATAATGTAAACTAATTTTTACAGTTCTATGTGTTTACCAATGTGATATAAATTGCAAAAATTTGAAGAAAAAAATGGCATGTGAGGGGGCGATTGTTACATTTGCCCATTCCTTGAGGACGCCCCTGTCGTTAGTAAGGATTAACCGTTACTCACAGGTATACATTGAATTACCTAAAACAGCGGTTGCACACGTCCCCATTAATCAGTAATTCTTTAACCATCAAAATTAAAATGGTTGTATTTAAAATCTGTGACTTGTTTTACATTCTGAGTGGAACGATGAATGTATTGGTCTTACTAAGATGTTTCATTTTTTTGACCAATTTTTTTACACTAGAAATTTTGCTTTAATTAACTATGATAGCACTTTTTCTGAAAAGCGAAATACTTTAGGGAGGCCATGTCTTGATTTTTCCAGGAGTTTTCCCAATAAATGAAAAATTTGGGGAAAAAATGGGAAAACTGGAGAACGGAAAAATAGATAAAATATTTAAAAAAATATTAAAGATAATGTTCCATGCATATGCAATTATTTACCATAATATGACATATATTGTTGACAAAGCAACACTATCATCCAAATTCCGCTCAGAATCGTTTTTCAGTTAACAATGGTTATTCGTTACGTACAGATAAATTATAAATTAAATTCTTATCTATATCCTACCTTCCCAAATTCCCACCTATAGTAGTGACTGCAACCCTCCCCATTATCCTACGATAGCTTTTTAAATTTATTTGTTCAACCAATGGTTAGTTAATGTTAGTAGAATAGAAGTGAATGAGTGACACCTATAGTTTGTAGATCCCTTGTGTGTATGAAGTAGTATTATTTTTTTCCAGGGGGCTTCAGCATTTTCATTTTTTTTTATTGAAATTGTGCCTCTGCCTATTGGCGTGGCGATCTGACACAAAAGACTGAAAAAGACCTGGGATGATACAAAAACGTTTTAACTAAAGTCATGGCTGAATAGTGAGCAATCGTTGTTAGGACCTTTACACATAGTCTGAAATCTCGAATAGATCCGTTCAGTGGGATTTCCGGTCATTTTAATTTAATCAAAAGTAACCGTCATACGAAATCATGTCTGGTGTACTCGAAGAGAAAAATGTTTTCACTTTTTCCACGAATATTTGCTTCTGTATCGCTAAGGACTAGGAACTGCACATTTCACTGATAAAAAATAAACAAAAATTACACATTTTTAAATAAATAATAACAATTGTATATAATAATAATAATAATAATAATAATAATAATTATAAGACATAAATGAACAAGTTAATATTTACATGTACAACAAGGAAGTATTAAAATACTCTAAAAACTACATAGTATGTAGAAACTAATTTATATCACATATATATATTATTAAACTTTAAACTTTATTATCAAAAAAATATACTTAGAGCCTAAGTATAACATTTTATCGTTATGTACCGTATATATTTATTGCAATTAAGTAAAATTAATTAATAAAGTCACGTGATTGTTATAATTAATAATAATTACTATCATTCGCTTTTTATTATTATTATTTTTTCTTGCAATACTTTAAGTTGGAAGTATCAGTGACACTATACATTCGTAATACAGGAGATAACAAAATAATTAGTATAGAATTTTTGCACTTTTTTTTTTAACGAAAAAATAAAATTTACGTAATATATTTAGACGAATATTTATTTATAGTATTTATGATAAACGTTCAGTTTATGTGAACTGTAACATTTAAACGTTTCTATAAAATTTTTCAAAAATGTTCACTATTCTAAAAATATCCAATCGTCGACGGACGAGAAACATTAAATTGTAATTATTAATAATTATATTATAATTTGTAATTTACCGATAAATTAGACGGCGAAAATATTTTATCCGCATCAACAAAATATCAAATACGGTTCTGGCGCGTTTTTTTTTTTTACAACATAATTTTATAGAAATAAAAGTGACGATCATGTACGTTCATGTATTTATAATAATATAATCTTATAAATAAATATATTAAATAACGACGAAAATAATTATTAAACATTTAAATGAAAAATTATTTACAAAATATAGATTTGATGTAATATATTTCATAAATATTCGATAGTTAGTCAAGAATTTCGTTTTCATATCCGGTTTAATAACATTAGAAATACCAGAAACTATATTCGTTGTCGTTTAATTTTCAACATTATTATGTATTTTGCGAAATATATTATGATTATTAATTATTTTAAATATTTATATGTATAAAAAAAAAAAATTACTTATTTCCATTGAAAGTTTATGTAGGTAACGTATACACATTTATTTTCAAATTCTGTGATTGAATAAAAAAAAAAAATTGGTAATTTTTTAAAGTTTTTTCAATATTTTAATCCTAAAGTCGTCCGGAACTTGAAGAAATAAAAAAAAAAAGGAATAAAACGACATAAAAATGGTTAAAAATGCGCTACTTTTTCCAAATTATACAACGAAACTGTGCAATTATATTCACTCATAAAGTAAGAAAATATATTAAATAACCAAATAATATCAGAAAATATCAGACGTTTTCTACACGGCTCGAATCCTGTAAAAATAAAAACTAAAAAAATGTTTCTGTATTTTAAGAAAAAATTTCTATAAACACAGGAGTAACGTATTAGAGCAAAAAAGATAAAAAAAAAAAAATCGCAAATACATTAAGTTTCAAATTCGCGTAATTTTAAGTATAACATATTCTAGTCTGAGGTAGGAGTTTAACAAATGCAGTTTATTGAAAAATAAAAAAAAAATAATAATAATAATACCTATAGTAACATAAAACACCCTCCCTTTGCAGATTACCGCTTATCGATTCAAACTAAAATAATTATGAATTCTACGCCAAAATGCTTTTTAAGCGAATTCCCGTTGTTTCAGTGACACCGACACGATAATACGAATATGTCGACCAGTGGCGGACCCGGACTTTCATCATGGAGGGTGGACGAAACCGTTTACAAAAATGTAACCTGGGATATGTTTTTCAATAATTGTACTAAAGCTTTATAAATCCATACTGTATTATGATATTGGGGGGAGAGAAGGGAAGACAAATACTCAAATATCGACTCCCCTCCCCGGGTCCTCCACTGCCGTTGATATGAACGAAACGAAAACTGTATACTGTATGACATAAACAACAATTCAATACTTTTTTTTTTTTTTTTAGAGATTTTACATACCGTTTAAACGAACTACGCTTCATACAAAATTGTAGAACATTAACACGACTAATGTGCGCGTACTGGAGATTAAGTATCGCCTATGCACAAGAATATAATATAATGAACACAATTCAAAAATGTGATTTCTTCAGTGGTAACTTTGAACGTTTGAAAACGAATGACGTTGCACTTTTTAAACGTGTTATTTTTGTGTAAAATATTGTGATTATTCTCGTTCTCACCTTCAGCTAACGTCATCCAGGACGAGATGGGAGACAATGAAAGCTGATCGCGAGGTTCTCAAACCGTTTTTTTATTGCCGTACTTAGCATATTATTTTCCTAAGGTTGTATGTTTGCTATATATAATATGAGAATTAAGGTCTAAAATTACTAAAATTTCTTATTGCGTTGTTTTTTTTTTTTTTTTTATAATTTCAATATCACGACTCGGAAAAGTTTATACAAGTACACCGTTCCCGCTGTGCGTAAATATAAGTGTCACTGTTTCGATAGCAATATAGGTAACGAAATATATTTTAAACTATTATCGAGATGAGACGTTTGACATTTTCGAGTTTTGTGTCACCAATAAATTTCTTGGTGCTTAGGCGATATAGAATAGATAAATAAAAACCCCGGTTTAGACGACGCGTATACATAAACCGACGACGGGATAACGAGTAAAATTTACAATAATAATAATGAGTCGAAAAGAAAAAATGAAAATAAAATAAAAACCAATAACAACAATAATTACAAACGATTATTATTATCACAGAATTTGGCAATATTTGCTTTTGTTTTTCACGGGCGTGACAGACGACAGCGGGGTAGTGGTGGCCGGCTGGTAGCCGGGCGTAGAAGCGGGCGACGTGAACACCGGAAGTGAGGCCGAACTGATCATTTGCGGCTGGTGAGGTTGTTTCTGATTGTTCGGCCGCTCCTGCTGGTGCTGCTGCTGCTGGTGCTGTTGCGGATCGACCGGGGCGGACGACTGCACGGACGACGGATTGGACGCCGCCAGAGCCGCCGGCCCGCTGCTGGCCGAACTGTTGTACAGCGACCGGCTGACCCGGTTCCGGAACGACCTGCTGGACGACGTCGGCTTCTTCCGGTAACTGGAGAATTTGGCGCCGTTCCGCTGGAATACCGACGGTTCCAGATTGAGGTCGAGACTCTGTGACCGACGCGGAAAATCCAAAAAAAAAAAAAAACAAAGTTTCCATGAGTGCGACTATAAGCGATGATGTTTAAATGAGGGTTCATTTTAGTGAAACATAAGTATACCGTCGCCGTGTAAGTACAATGCAATATGGCGGGAAGAACGATATCGGAACAGAAACGCCGTGACAAAATAGATAGATGACTTGCCCGGGTCCATACCGCTGGTTAAGTTAAATTCTGCGGCGTTATGGGATTTCGATACCCTCAAGTGACATAATAATTTATTCGAATCCGTCGGTGAAAATATCCTACGTTTTATTCGATTCCCTCCCCATTTAATTATACGCAGGATGTTTTTACCCGGTAAAAGGAGATTAATATATTTTGGTAGTGAAAATAGACTTTTCCGAAAAGCTAACCAGTTTTTGGACGGGGCATCGAAAATTGCTTACATCTAACGGGTACTCATATCTGTTTTGTCACGAGAAACGTTTTGGTGACGTATTTGAAATCGACGAGTAAATTTTAATAGTAAAAAATAGATTTAATTAAAACTAATTTAAATAAAAAAAATTCCATTACAAACGACCGAATCTAACGTTTCGACAAAATCAAGTTGGTCGTAAAGAAAGACGGTCTTCTTAAATCAGATTTTTCGAATACGCCACTGGAAGTATAATTATGTGATACAAATTGCGTTAACACAAACCAAAGTGAAATAACAAAAAAAAAATTAATTTAATAGAGGTTAGGCAATTCAACCAATAATTCTAATAGGTAATTTTATAATATTGTTATTTGTTGTAAATAGGTAATTGTATAGTGGTTAGAAGAAAACACAAAGTATAAGGTATGATGAAAATATTATTTCGTGAAATTCAAAATAGAAACAGTTCAGGTAAGTAAGTATATTGTCTAATCTAAAGAAGTAGGTATAGTGGTTAAAGGAAAGTTTCGATTCTAACGAATACATTGAAAATTGTTTACTTATTTGTTTCGGTATGAATACGATTCTATAATATTAATGCTACGTTTAAATTTGCGATATGTCGGATGATTCTTTTATCGCGAACCGACCACGATTACCTACGAATATTTCAATTAATACGTTTGACTATAATATTACG